GTCCTGCTGTGTAACCTGTTGTTGTTGTTGTTGTTGTCCTAGCCATTTTCAGTAACCTCCCCCCCCCCTCCCCCTTTTCCCCTCCTCCTTTTCGTCTCCCCCTTTCACGTTTTACCCTTTTCTTCGAAGCACGTTAATCAACGCCAGAGACATTAATGCTCAGCATGGGTTTCTCTTTAGTTGATGAGAGACAACAATCTTAATACGGGGTGCCTAATGGGGGATCGGGTCGGGTCGGGGCGGTTTGCTAGCCAGATTGTCGGTGCAAAGCGGCTATCGGGACACAAGTCGATCGCGCCCGACTCGTCCCCTCAAAAGCAAACGCTTTTGTTTTCGGGGGACGAGTCAGGTGATCGACCCTAACCGACCCGACCCGACCCGATCTCATCCACAACGAGCATCCGCTATAAAGCACCAACAATCAGACCAAAAAAAGAAAATGGATTGTACTTAGTTGAACAAATAATATACAACGTAATAACGATCCTCTTCTCGTCCACTAAGGTAACTTAGGCACTACACGAGAACTTATACGTTGTATTTATGGAGAATCAGGCTCCATCAACTGGAACGCTGCATTCCACATATACCGGGTGCCCATTGCAGATCGGATCGGATCGGGTCGGGTCGGATCGGTTGGGGGTGGAATCAGGTTGGGTCAAATCAATTAATGGTGGCTTCAGTGCCAACTACGAAAAAACCCCTGACTTGCTATGGGAAATTCTAACAAGAACAACAAAACGTTGACGGGCACGTGGTGTTAAAGAACACAAAATTTACCTTCCCAATACCACCGTAATATCCTCCCATCACGGCTTTAAGTGCTGACTGCCGCTTGTAGCGTCTATTGTGTTGAAAGATTTTTTAATTCTTCAGACATGGGAAATGTCGATAGTATTATTGATCTACCAGTATCAGCTTCTCCAAATCTTGTCTCTGTCCATTATCGCATTCCTCACGCACAACGTACACACCCAGTCGTTCGAATCGAGACATTGAAAAACAAATGTGTTTGATTTTGAAGGTTACAATCTAAATCGGTCAAATTCGGTGAAAGTCGAATTGTGCTACAATGGTAGTTTTTGCCCCTGGGTGAAAGAAAATCTTACTGGCTTCCTCTCAATTCGACTGAATTCTACTGACAGTGTGCATTGGACATTAACCCTCATGGTGGCAGCTGGAAACATCGAAATATTATTAGAAATTTATTGACGAAATGGTTTATTCACGATTCTCGGCTTGAGCACGTCCAGGATACGTTCAACATCTCTGAAGCAAGGTGGACAGAAAGTGTGTCGTTCCGTTCGTTAGCGTGTCATCCCAGGCTAGGAAGTCATGGACCTGAGATCTATGTTCGACGATCGTTGAAAAAAGGATAGGATAACAAAAACACATTTACTGTAAGAAACTCGACTACAGTAGTCACTTGTAAGATCTCACCAAGGCCAGCATCTCCGTGGTTTACTCACGAGATCGAAGAGCCCCAACCCCCAAAAAACAAAAACAAATGAAAGCAGAGAGATAGCTTAGAAAGACGGGCCTCCACGTCCACAAATAGATTTTGGCAACTGGACAAAACAACGTCAACACACTGATTGAAAACAACAAGAAACAATTTTATCTTAACAAATTTCAGAATGTAAACTCCTGCAAGGAACTTTTTCGATGATCTGATCAATTATTGGGTAGGGAGAATTGTACACGGTTTCCACCAGGAACTGATAAAGAACTTTGTTGTAATTTTCTGTACTTTTTCAGTGATAAAATTGAAAGAATAAGAACTGATTTAGACTGTAGTATTCTAGTATGTTAGATGTAAATACAAAATTAATATAGTTGTTGATGGAAATCTTGCAATTATGAACAAATCAAGATTGAGTGAATTTAAAGTGGTATGAGAGAAAGATGTCATTAAGTATATCAAAGAGTCCCCTGCTAAAACATGTGACTTAGACCCAATACCCACTTCATTGTTAGTTACGTGCATCGAAGATCTTGCACCATATGTTAATAGTTTTTTTAATATTATGTCACTCACCACTGGAATCGTACCTGATCTTTTCAAACAGGCCATTGTAAAACCTTTACTTAAAAAACAAGGTCTTGATGAAAACAACATGAGAAATTTTAGGCCAGTATCCTATCTTAACTTTTTATCAAAAATCCTGGAGAAAATAGTTTTGCAACAACATTTAAAGGCTAATAACATGGAAGAACCTTTCCAATCTGCTTATAAAAGTCACCACAGTACGGAAACCGCTCTTTTAAAGGTATCATCAGATGTTATAAAAGAACTCGATGATAAAAATGTCTGACGAGCAGGGTGGAAGCAGCTGGCGTCAGAATTGTGCGGCTATTATGCTCAGATGTACACACCTGATAATTCCCCAGGTGAACTCTTTCCCTTTTCTTTACTTCATTTCTTCTCTGCTTTATTCTTACTTCGTAGCCACATTGTTCCGTCTATAATCTTGAGAGAATGACATTTGCACCCATAGACAAACACCAAACCAAAAAAACCCTACGTTTTATCTTCTTGAGTTAAGTAGGGCAATTTACCCCATGCCCCCATCCCCTCCCGCTTAGC